TGTTGGTTAGGTTCCACTTATAGGTGAGATCATATGGTATTTGTCTTTTGCCCCCTGGCTTATTTCGCTTAGCATAATGCTCTCTAGTTAGATGGATTGGTTCTTAATAAAGCTATGATTTCCTAAGCAGAATGGATTCTGATCCTTACTTGTAAAAGACAACTATCATGTTGTTTAATATTGCTAAAGTGTAAGGGTAAAAATTTTATGCTTGACCACTGTGCACTCTCTCTCTCTTTTGGTAACAGATGTCAACCTCGGTTAGATTTTTTTTTTATTAGATATGTGATCTTTTTTTAGAGATGGCATATCAGAGACTATTAATATCAACACATGGTTTCAATGCCATGCCTTAAAAAGGCACAAAACTTAACTTAGCCCCATTGTGGGGTGGTTTTTTTTCTTGTCCCATATAAATTTTATTTATTTATTTATTTTATATTTTTTTATTGTTCAAATACATATGTCTCCACCTTCCCATCACCACTTTCCCCTGCCCCCTTCCCCCACCTCCCTCCTTCAATCATTTTCCACTTTGGCTTTGTCCATGGGTCCTCAACACATGTTCCTTGACTTGACCCTTCCCTTCCCTTTCCCTGTCCCCTCCTCCCTCCTTCCCTCTTGATTTTGTTGGCTTCTTTTTTCTTTCAATGTTGCTGGTTATATTTTCTTTGCTTGTTTTTTAGTACATGGCTTTTAGCCAAAAGCAATTTCACACTTGTAGAAACTATCATATACATCTTAATAATAGAAATGTGCTTTTAAAAATGCATGTGATAAGTTACTTTACCACATACTTATGGTAAAATAAATCTGTACATCTCTCAGGCCTCATTGTCAAAATGAAAACTTAGAGATAGTTGCTGCAGAATGTGAATATACAAGTGAAAGTCTCTCTGACACATTAAAGAACTACAGTTTGAACATATTAACAAAACTTTGATACCAGTATGGTTCTGATGGACTGAGAAATATGAGGAGGGCCCCCTAAATGCAGAATCTAGTTATAAAAATGTGTATTTATTCTTACGTGTTTAAATCTCAGTCACCTTCAAAGTATTCTCCATTTGATGCAATACACCCATCGAGACATTTTTTTCCACTGTTCAAAACAGTTTTTGAATAAATTTAGATGCCTTTTAGTGCTTCTACTATTTTTTTTTGTTTCACTTCTTCCAAATCAGCAAAATATTTCCTTTTCAGGACTTTTTTCATCCAGGGAAACAAAAAAAAATGTAACTCAGAGTGAAATCAGGTGAATAGGGAGGGTGAGGCATAGGGATATTATGATTTTTGGTCAGAAGCTGCTGAACACTTAATGTGGTGTGGGCAGGTGTGTTAACAAGAAATGAGCAACCACATTGAAAAATTCTTCAAAAAATTAACTGAAGCCAAATGCAGCACCTCACAACAATGCCAGCTAGTACACTGATATAAATGGGTTCTTAGAACACTCACTTTGTTGGGGAAGACTGTACTAAAAGGGGCGTGCCTTCCAGAAGATAATTCCAGTTTTTTAGGGTAACGCCTTGTACACTGGCATTTCTTGTCCTGACCACCGATCTTAAGAACACTCCATTTTGATTCTTATCCTCAAAGGTAATAAATATTTAATGTTTCAAGTTAAAGTCATTAGTGTATTCAGGTACATTATGTGCTTACATTCACTAAGCATAAATTTAATTTCTCCTTTATATAGAGTGTAATTTATGTTTACCACAGTCTCTCTGTGGTGATTTAAAAAACCTTAAAATCCATGAAAGTGTTAAAAATAAATTGAACAGTGGCTGAGGAATAAGGAGGGGAATGCCATCCTTTAGATAGGAACATATAGAAACTAAATTGATACTGTGAATCATTTACAATCACTGTAATTGAAAGCTTACTTATCCTTAGTTAGATCTTTTTAAGTAACAGAAATTTTAGAAAATACATGTACTTTTTGCAATATATCTTTCTACACACAACTTGAAAGACACAGTATACTTTAGTTATGTGTTCACTGGTTTATGAAGTATCACTGCCTCGTCTATGGACCTCATATCCATACCAACTTTCAAAGATAGTGATTAAAGAGTAGTCTTTGCACTGAATGAGAATTAGGTGGTACATCAGCCTCAGAAAGTCCAGAACACACAGTAAGGGCTCAGCAAATACCTACTCAATGTTTTAAAGGACATAAAGAGAAGGGGTTGATAGTTTAACTTTTACAGTCATGGAAGAGCTTACATCTGTGCCCTTTTCTACCTGACCAACTAGAGGAGCGGTCAGCAAACTTATCTGGTAAGGGACCACACAGTAAATACTTCTGGCTCTGTGGTCCATATGATCTCCGTTGCAACTACTCAACTCTGCTACTGTAGCACAAAAGGAGCCACAGACAATGTGGAAATAAATGAATATAACTGTGTGCCAACAAAACATTTTTTTGTAGACACTGAAAGTTGAACTTTTCACATGTCACAAAGTATTCTTCTTGATTTTTTTCCCAACCATTGGTCAAACAACGCACCAGAGGATGACACCCAATCTCACATATAATCATATTCATCAAACTGTTCATACTTTAGTTGTAAATGATGTCTCCCGACCTCTACTTTTCCAGCAAGACTGTATGAACTTTCCATTGTATGCTTAAACAAACAATCAAATGTTAATTGCACACAAAATCAAGCCAGTAACTGATCAGAGGCAAAAAAAATAATCTAGAATGAACCAGAGCAATGTGTAAATACTTTATATGTGGCATGAATCAATACTGAAAGACTGCACAACTTGATCAATTAGAACACATGGGCCCTTCTGATCTGACACTACTAGTGTAGAGCCACCAGTCTTATTAAACCCCCAGGCCAGGCTCCTGAAAGACTGTTTTCTGCAATGTGTTCAATTTGTTTACTTGTTCATTCATTAAGAATACATGGATTGAAGCTTACTCTATCTGGGGTCCCATGTACTGTGTGTAACTGAATTTTTCTGGCAGACATCAAACATGGAAAGAAGACTACTATACATCAAATATTTTAAAACCCACTTCGGCTCTGCTGTCAGGTCACATAATTGAACCACGCTCTGAAATTCTTGTCCCTGAATTGAGGTCCTGAAGAGGCCTTTTTACTTAAATAATGGCTATAACTAGGCAAGTGAGTTAGGTATTGTGAGCCCCACTGCAACAGGACACCCAAACTCACACTGAGAATAGTATATTGTCGAAGTAGAAGACAGTTCTAAGTGTCTACCAGATGACTGTGATGTAGGCTTATTACTAAGTAGATTTTCAAATATATGTAAAAGTATAAAGCTCTATATTCTATTACTAATTTTTGGCTCTTCTGGTTTTCCTGTTTTCTCTTTACAATATTCCTTAAAGTGTTAGATATTAGATGAAATCTGCACTCTGAATTAATAAGAGTTCATAAAAATATAATTATCTGTAGGGTCAAATCCTCATAAAAATCAAAGAGAAAACTGCTCTCACTTCTTGGCCACTAGAGTACAATGTAATGCAACCCTATACACTGCCAATCTTAGGCACCCAAAGACAGAGTTTGGGATTCACGTCTTATTGAGAGGGCTTGAACTTGGAGATGTTTGTCTCATTGAAGGCTTAGATTTATGTTCCTCCAGCCTTTGCCTCATCCTTTGTGACCTCGGGCATACATCTGCATATGGATGGACCAAAGGGAGGTGTGCAGTCAAATAAAGTGAAATATTACTAATGGCCCACCCAGGGACTACAGTCCTGGCCTTGGCCTCATTAGCACCTTACTCTAATCCACAGGGCTCACCTGCCATAAGCTGGCAGTAAATAAGCTTTCTGTACATAGACACAAAAGAAATCGAGCTGCAGACAAGATTTCATCCACAACCATCAACTATGGAAAAATGCAGCTCCTAAAATTATTCCCATAGGACAACTACAGCATAAAACATTTCCAGACTAGAAATATCCCTCCAGAGGCTACAGAAGCTTGACAAGGAATATTCTGTGATTTAAGAAAAATTAAATTTGAAAACAAAACACACTAGAATTTTTGATAAAAGAATTAGAATTTACATTTAATGCTGTGCTGAACACTAACCTGGAGACTTGGAAAAAGTTAATTCTTTTGCAAAACACAAGTAGCCTTCTTGTCATTGGAATTAGCTGATCCATTCTCCCAGAAACTGTTAAAAATACATGAACTCCCCACTTCTTCATTTGGTACCCACTATAATGGAAGTCAGCTGACATAAATTAACACATAGTTCCTAGAGATGTAATATTATAAGCCCTATACTAACCCAGCAAATACAGGAGATCTTTTCTAGGCCACATGGCTAGCAGGATTGGTATGAAACATAACAATACAATCAGATGTCACAAACCCAAATGACAAGACGGACATCCTACTTAATTTGAAATTTTCTGTTCTGGAAGAGATAGGAGTCTAAGATGTACTACATTTTAAAACGTGCTGTGTAGGCTGTTTATAATTTAACAGTGTACCATAAAATGACTTGGAATTAGCTCTTTGGTAGCTAGAAAAACCTAAATTAAATATATTTCACACGCCTTTCATTAACAGAGTTGCGAGATCTCTATGCCAAGGTGCCAAATCTCCCCACATGGCTAGAAATAACTTGGTTCGCTTTCAGCCATTTGTGTCTCTGTCATAGGTCTAAGGTTTGCAATTAAAAATGTAATGTTTTAGCATGTGCAAAGCCCACAGGATTGATCTTTTATGCAATGAATATGATTATAATAGTATTCATGGATGGCATATGTTAATTTATGTAAACTCAGCACAGTTTAGGGCACTTCAGCATCAGGACCACCAGAAAACAATAAAAGCTGGTTCTGTCTTATTGGAGGTATTTTTTTGCTTGTTTTTGTTTTGTTTTTAAATTGTCATGAATAGAGATTAAGTCAAAATTCAAAGTTCATTTTATGATATTAATTTTTCACATGCATATAATCCATTCAAATTAAAATTTCCAACTAATAAAAAATAACTTACTTCACAGGATTATTCTTAGATTTTGTCTTTTCAATAGCCTGTAAACAGAAGAAAAAATGCAATTAGACAACATTTCTAGGCACAATATTTGCAACTAGGTACCAAAACAATAAACAATATAAACTGCTCTTTAGAAAGATAAGGAGCTAACTGAAGCAAGCTGCTGGAGATAAGCAGACTGTAGGCACAAAAAGCAATTTTCCTCTCCAGGGGAATGTGGTTACCTATCTAAGTACAGCCTTCAGACACAAGCAGGCATTGTCAGGGCTGTCTGGAAATTTCAGCACTGTTCATAGGAATGGGCACTTAGATACACAAGTGGATCCTCCTCTTCCCACATTTCACATTAATCTTCCCTGCTGTGTGGACCTGCTTGGGTTGTTGTGATGGGAGGAGGTGGTAGGTGCAGATGTAATGGTCACGGATATATCTTGAATTTTTAGATCTGTGATAAGGAGTCATTTACCATGCATTACTACTGACACCTGGCTGCACCTGCATGGTGATAAAAAGGATAAAGCACTAGCTGACATCACAAAAGGGCAAAGGATCAATGAATGCTCAGATCAATTTCCTCCCCTGGAACCTTTAAGTAAACATACACAAAATCAGCAAAATGAGGAAATCTCTGGGCCTCTGAGCCTGCATCACCTTAGACATGGAGTCTGGTCCCAGTTTATTACTGAACCCACTGATCTGTTTTCAGTCCACTTGCCATTCATGAAAAGAGCTAGCAATCTTCTGAGTATATTAGAAGAAACAACTCAGATCATCTGTCAACAGCCCTTTTATTCCTGTTTCCCTATCCACAGGGATTGCATCTCCTTCAATTCTTCCGGAATTAAAATGTTGCTAAGCAACACAGTGAGGGTACTGATGGCAGAATGGCTGCAGTCTATCAAATTGTTTAAGCATTTGAATGTTTTAATGATGTTTTCACATTTCTGTAGCATAATTACTTAGTCAGAACCAATCTTGCACTCCCCTAAACTTTTTCAGGCTATAGAAATAACATTTAATGTAAGGAGCATTGAAGAAGTGCTCTGAGAACCTCAGGGTTCTTCAGATACCTTAAAAATTATCCATTTGGAGACCTCTTTATCTGTGAATCCTGGAGGTGAGTGAGGGCTAAGAGACAAAGGGCAAACTTTTGTAAATTAAAAAGCAAAGACAACTGATTGTAACAGAGACAATTTATAATCTAACATTGGACTTGACATTCTAGGTGACAAGTGCATAAATGTGATGGACCATTCTATGCATAAGAACTCAAAGTACTTCAAAGCAATTTTTTAACCAATCTCTTCCCAAGCTTAGACATCAATGTTGGAAATCCAAGTCCTCCTCTATTGATTCTCAGGTTCTGTTGCTAGATAAATACCTATTAGTATTTGGGCACTTTCTTTGGCTCAGTAGACAAAAATCATTTTCTCACCATCTGTGCCTGAGTTTGAAATTTGGTAAGTGGTGGAATAGTGAGAAAATTAGAGAGTAAGGTGACAGTAAAAATGATTAACTCAAGGTATATGTGCTTGGTTTGCTCAAGTCTTGTCTCATGTACTTAAGATATTAGTACTTCTTCATGTAAAGAATGCTGAAATGAAGAGGCTGATGCTGGTGAGGAGTGGAAGCTGGGCATTGATCTTAATGCAGTCTGTGCACACACAAACAGAGACACATATCTACCTTTTCTACAAACTTTTCACCACAATCCTGCTGTTTTGGAATAGGATATGATAGTGGGATGAAGACATGTTTTTAAAAAATCACATGAATCCACTTTTCCAAATCCCTTAAAATCCAACAAAGTTTGTTTTTGAAGACTTAGGTAATCATAAAGTAATGGGCATGGTGTCCATGTGGTTTTCTTTTAAAGCATGCTGGGTATGATAGCATGAACATGCCACTGGCAGAGGAATCATATGGGAGAAAACAATGTGACATTGTTTAACTTCACTTTGATACAGTGACATGTTTTTTGAAAATGTCCTCTCTTGTCTATGCTTTGAGACTGTCAAGTAGACCTCGTTATTTTCCTATGATCGGGAGGCACATAACAATGCTGAAGGCCAGTTTCTAAGAAACATGTGACTTTATACAGCAGTTAAACAAAAATACCTTCATTCAAATAAATTTTTCCAATCATTTGGCTATTGATTGAAAATATATATGTTAAAATGTTCTTTTCTTTTGAAATTAACTTAAAATCACTCTAGAGTCCCAACAGCTTTAGTTTAACCTTAACTTCAGTCAGATGTGCTTGTGTCATTTCCCTGTGTGCTCATTACATTTAATCTTTAAAGTAAGTGGTCACAGGGAGTCTCCACCAGACATGAGGCACAGCTTACAATTTGTGTTCCTCCCTTTCACTGTAATTTGAGTTTGTTTTAAGCATGCAATTAGGAATTATTAAATGAAGAGACTTTGAAGAAAACCAAAATAAATAATTTATGTGAAAAAATATATGTATCTTTAGGGTATAATAATTAGTCTACAAAAAATACAAGGATAAAATTCCATGGAAATTTTCTCCTTATATATTGTAACATGGGAAGATAATTCCAAGTTCCAGATACATGTGCAAGTATGTGAGAAACCATGAAAAAAGGAGAAAAATTAAAATGAAATGATATATTATAATTTACCAAGCCTTAAGAGGGTTCCATATTGGGATTAAAGTTAATTTTGAGCTTAAAAGCATACATTAAAGTAGTTTCAACTGATTAGAAAATAGAAGATGGGGAAGGAGGACAATGGTGGAAAGAAAGAGGGGGACTAGGCAAAAGACATGTATGAATGACCCGTGGACATGGACAAGAGTGGGAATTGACTGTGGGAGTCAGGGACGAGATGGGTGGAGGGGGGTAAAGAGGGAAAATCGAAACAACTGTAATAGAATAAACATGATTTAAAAATTAAAAAAATTAAAAAAAAGAAAATAGAGGCTAGATAGTTAACACTTATGTTGCTTTAATTTTTAATGTCTCTATGCTTTTTAAAACCTATATTTTACTTATTTTTTGCCACATTTCCCTAGTGTGATCCTTATCTTGCAATTAAGAAAGTAGTATAAGATGATATACTTATTTAAAATATTAAACATATACTCCATTGTGGCATGATGAGTGGTAATGGGCCATAGTAGAAAGAGTATGATGCTACAAATCCAAAACTTGGGTTCTATTCCTAGCTTTGTCACTTGATATCTTCATGGCATAAGCAAGATGGTGAACATTTCTAAACATAATCACTCTTGCCCTGTCCACATCAAGGTTGGTTGTGAATAGGCAACACACATGACAGTGCTCTAGAAACCATAATATGCTATGCAAATGCAGTGCATCTTGATTGTGACTGCTTTCCACAGAGGTGTTGGTGCATAAATTTTTATGGCCAGGCAGTATATAGTGACAAGTTTGCAGTATCAAAACTATGCAGTTGTTCCTATGAGGATTATAGGAAGCACTCCGTTCTTCTCTCTAAATTATAAATAGTTCTGGAATGAACAGAACATTTTTGTCTGGAAAGTTTTAACTTGATGAAGATTTTGATGTGTTTAAATACTGGCAGGCCTGTCCCAGCCAGAGAGAAGCCTACCTTCATACAGACCTCTGCCCTGAACCTTCTTAGAGGGTGATGGTGTTAGTAGAGAGGTAAGAGAGCCTGAGGTTCTTTCTGGGCACCAGTAAATGTGCACACACTGAAATAACTCTCCTTATCCTCTTTGTCTCTCTCTCTCTCTCTCTCTCTCTCTCTCTCTCTCTCTCTCTCTCTCTCTCTCTCTCTCTCTCTCCCCCTCTCCCCCTCTACACACACACACACACATACACACACACACAAACCTACCTAGGAAACATCCCTATTTTCCAGGTGACTCTTCCAAGAGCATTCCCTCCTTTTACATGCCACTCAATCAGAAAGGCTCTTTGCATTTTCACCAACATTGGACCCTGTGTTTGGGAAGCCCTAAAGATGCTACTCTATGTGAGCTTTCTCCATTACATGGCATCTTGAGAAATTATATGTCCACGAAGAAGGCATTTCTCTCATTCCAAGCAGTGTTTATGAGCTGATTCTTCTTTCATTACCAGCTTTATTTGTCATATCATGCTATCTTGCTAGCAGCAAATTTATTTCCTCAGGAGGGATAATGAGGCTAAGGACATGCTTATATTTGCTCACTCATTAAATCTATCTTCCTCAAAAAGAAAAGATATTGGTTTTCTGTTATATAGATAATGCTTTTACTGCACTAGTGCTTATGTGACTCGGGGAGCATACTGAAATTATATGTACCATAAAATGTAGATCTATCATGACAAAATATATAGAAAGAAGGAAAAAAAAAAGAAGAAAGTAAGGAAAATGGATGCCCACTCTCCAAGACATACATAACATCATGTTTCTTTAGGAAGAAAATGATACATATAAGACACTTCGAAAGTTGCTAGTCATCTTTTATACAGTGGTGAAATTTCTTAAAAATTCTTTGGTAAGGTAATTCTGCCTCAGTAATTATATATCATTAACTGTTGTTCTAGTGCAATAGATATGTATAATATATTTATAAAAATTCGAGAATGTTTTTGAGCTTTTAAGAAGCACTCTCTGAACAGTTATATCCAGTTATGACAATATCCACCGCTCCAACGTTTACAAATAACAAACTCAATGCATTATTATGTTTCCTTTTTGTTGAGATTGTCAAAATAAGTCAGATGGTCTAGAGATATTGTAGCAGTAGACTCATTTTACAAGGCTAAGTATTCATGTACTGCTTTTTTCCTTAATAATAATGCTGTCACTCAAGCATGAAATGTGATTTTATTAGTATCGCTCTATATGGCGGGTACATGTACTGCTTATATATGTCTTTCCTCTGGCATTATACTAACAAATACACCAAAGGTAGGCCTATATAATATATTTTTGATAAAAATTCAACAGTCAATCATTCACATAATTTCAAATAACTGGATATTAGGCATTATGGGAAAAATATATAACAATTGTTGTGGTTTTGTGTGTCTTTATTTTG